CGTCTGTTCGTGAGCACTATCCAAAGAAAAGCCAGCCAAAAACACCAACGCTGCAGAGAGAGAAAAGGGAATTCCAATCAAACAGAATAAGAACACGCTCGATTTGGAGGAACTCGTCAACGCTGCAAAAACCGAAACAACATCAATCACCTTGAAGGGCATTGAAGACTTCTTTGCCTCAAAACCAACCAAATGCCTAGAGGCTCAAACAATGGAGCCATCGACTCTAACATGGTGATGGTCCTCGAATGCCAAGAGCCCACTGGGGACCTCAATGACAGATGATCTAATGCTTGTTTCTCTGGAAGCCTTGTCATCATCGAGCATTTTAATCATTGAGAGCTAGTTTTGGTTTTCGTGTTACTCTGCTGTTGTTATGTTCCTTTAAATTTTGGTTCTCTCTTAGATTGTAACCAGTGGCGGATCCAGAAATTCCACATAGGGGTGTCCTCTTCAAAAATTAAATTAAATATTAAAATTAAATTAAATAATTATTAAATATGAAAATATCTGACTAATAAAAGTTGCATTAAAAGCTCAGACATGTTTCTTAAAATGGTAAAATACATTCGGTGTCTATACTACTCAACAATGATCTTTCGATATATCCTACTAGAAAAGGGTATCCAGTAATTGGGTTTAATCGTTAGGTTTTAAAAACAATTTGGGATAAGAATAACATTTTACTATTATATTTGGATTTAGAATACAATAACAAATGAGTTGTAGTGTAATTGAAAATATGTTTACTAATAGTGGCAGTGTCTCAAGTTTAAATCACATAAACTACTACTAAAATATTATTTGTACTAACTACTATCGGAGGTTGAATAATCGTGTTTCCAAATTTTAGACATGCATGTATCCACCCTTAATTGTAACCTGGTCATGTGAGATCCTCTCTTTTGAGAGTTGATTTTGTTATCTTTGGCATTTATGCCCCCTTCAATCAAAAAATGTAATCTCAAGTTGCTACGGACAGAGGTATTGTGGCCATTTTTATTTTTATATTCATTTTAAAGTCTTAAATCTTAATTTAGAATTTAGAATTTCATTAAATATTAGATGATAAAATTTAAATAGATAGTTTCAAAATTTTCATTTAATGTCGATTTTAGGAGAGTGGGAACAATTATTTTAATTATTAATGACATTAATTATTTTCTCATAATACCCCATTTATCCTTATTAACTTACTAACCACTAACCTTTCATAAACTAACTAAATTCACATTAACCAATACTCCAATAGGAATGCTTTAAGCATCCATTTAAGTTTCCAGGATTAAACACAGGATTTTACCCGAAAATTTCTCTGATTGTATTTTTAATGGGTGTACTTGATACCCTCGTATTAGGGGAAATTAATAAAATAAACTAGATAAAATAATTAATTGACTGAGTCAAATTTGAACCATTTCCAGTATGGGAGGTTAGATAATCGTTATCCCAAATTTTAAGGGTGTCCCACTACCACTTAAACATTTTTTTCCTCATATATAAACTACTATCGGAGGTTGAATAATCGTGTTTTCAAATTTTAGGGGGGTCCTGGGACACCCCTAAACATGCATGTATCCGCCCTTGATTGTAACCTGGTCATGTGAGATCCTCTCTTTTGAGAGTTGATTTTGTTATCTTTGGCATTTATGCCTCCCTTCAATCAAAAAAATGTAATCTCAAGTTGCTACGGACAGAGGTAGTGTGGCCATTTTTTATTTTTATATTCATTTTAAAGTCTTAAATCTTAATTTAGAATTTAGAATTTCATTAAATATTAGATGATAAAATTTAAATAGATAGTTTCAAAATTTTCATTTGATATCGATTTTAGGAGAGAGGAAACAATTATTTTAATTATTAATGACATTAATTATTTTCTCATAATACCCCATTTATCCTTATTAACTTACTAACCACTAACCTTTCATAAACTAACTAAATTCACATTAACCAATACTCCAATAGGAATGCTTTAAGCATCTATTTAAGTTTCTAGGATTAAACACAGGATTTGACCCGAAAATTTCTCTGATTGTATTTTTAATGGGTGTACTTGATACCCTCGTGGAAATTAATAAAATAAACTAGATAAAATAATTAATTGACTGAGTCAAATTTGAACCATTTCCAGTACCTTGTATCAATAGAGTTGAAAAACTTTCTTTTGTTGATTTCATTAATAACTGTGCTTTATATCTTTGTACTATGCAACGTTATCTAGTTAGTATGTTCATAAAATTTGATTACTCCATTAGAAATGCGACTGTAGTCACTAATAATAATATGAAATGAGTTTACCTTACACTCTCTTTCTCTCCTCCCATATAAAATCTTTCTTATGAAACCAACTATTTCGTAGAGATAGGCAGTGGCTCTGGGAGACTAGAGATGCCAGCGGGAGAATGGCGTTAGGGAAACCAACGTTATGAAAGAAGTTATGGGGTATGAATGTACCAATGCAGTCAAAAGCGTGATTCTACCTAAAAGCGGAAAAGGGGTAAAATCGAAAAGCGGCGAATCAAAACGTAAAAGCGTAAGTCTTATATGCATCCTGTATAATAGTTAACAATCTGTTAAGTACGACATAAACTATGTAAAATATAAGTACACAGAGTTTAGATAAAAGAATAAATACCTGCAATTCATGTCTAAATTAGAATAAACTCATAACATCTTAACAATAACTTCATAAATATAAATCATAACCCACATACGAGTTAAAAATCTAAATTCTCACAACTAGTTTAAGTTTACATAATAACATATGAGTTTAATAATCCAAGTTCTCGAAATCAAAGCACACAAATGTTATAAAGGATAGAAGGAAAACTACATCAATTCATCGGTTTCTATAATCTCCCATCATCAAAAGTTGTCATCCATTTTCATATTATGAAAACTCAGCCATTGATTTGAGAAAGTTAGATCGATGTAGGATCCAAGATGGAAACGAAGAGAAACCCCATTTCATTTAGCTTATACAAATTCGAAAACAAAGAACCAAAGCTCCAATAAAAAAAGTATGAAAAAGCAAGGAATGGATAAGAACATTGGCTTGAATATCTCCATAGAAGATACATTTCAGACAATATAATCAATTTCGATCATTTAGGGAAAGTATCATCGCATCTACAACGAAACACAACTACTCAAATTGATCCAAAATTTAGAAATCATGTGAAACCCATCAGAAACCTAAAAAGAATCCACAGAAGCAACATTGAAGCTATTGTACGGTCCGCAACTCCGCATCATGGTTTGGGCACGATTTGGCGGCCGCATCACCTGGTGGAGCAACATTGAAGATGTTGTACGATTTTTACAATCCGACATTGGTGAAGTGGCGACGGGCTAGGACAAGGAAGAGAAGGAAACTAACATGTTGTGGCATCGGCGATTTGCGATAGTCGATGACGAGTGCGACGGGTGCTGCCGCGTTGGAGGCTTGGAGGAGCTATCGAGTGCGACGACTAGAGCTTTGCTGGAAAACTAGTGGCGACGGTTGTGGAGCCTTGTAGCAGCTTTGAATTCTTCGCTGGAGTCTGGAAGGCCTGCCTCGCGATGGCGGCGACATGCGATGACGAGTGTGGAGAGACAGGAGACGAACGATTAGGGATTGTGGAAGATCTCAGCCCAATATCCACCCATTCCCTTTTTTTGTCTGATGTGATCGAAACGGCGTCGTTTTGGTTTGGTGGAGACAGTTTTCTCCTTTGCTTGGAATCGGGTAAAATCGATGCGAAAACGCGTTTTTATCCAATTTCAACGATTCTACTAACACTTTTGACCGATTTTGAGTGAAAACGATTTTATTAATGTTTTGAAACGTTTTCATACCCTAGAAACGTAAAATCGTACGTTTTTACGCTTTAAAGCGCGATTTTGACTGCACTGGAATGTACCACTGAAAGTGAGAAACTTCATGTGGCATTTGGCCAGAGACTCTCTTGCGATGGGGGATCATGTTAGTACTCGAAGTACAAGGAGGGGTGATGCATGTCCCTTTTGCGACCTAAAGAAAATTCAGGTCCAGCTTTTTACCCAATGTGCTTGGTCATGCAGGATATGGAGAAAGTTTCACGCAGCTCACTATTTTGAGATGATGGGGGATTTGCCGAGCCTCAAGTTGTGGAAACTATGGTGGAGGAGAAAGAGCAGGAGGATTGGAGCATGTTTTGACTGAATAAATGCCAGATGGAGCGTAGTGTCATATCAAACAATCATTCGAAAAAGTGATAGGCAGTGGTATGGTTAAGATAAGCGCAGTACTCTCCGTGATGAATAAGGAGCATAACAGATCTTTATTCCAAGAATGCGAGTCAGAACATATAAGTTCCGAAACAATGGAAGGTTGAGAGTTCACACCTGGACGCTTTATCGGGCACGAAGGGGGCGACGATGGCAACCAATTGTCTTGGAGGATCCGGATACTGGATCCATCACCAACCTGCCATCATAGTCCTTAACATGGTAGATCCCTTCCTTCCAAGATTCCTGGCCAGGCCCACGATGGTCGAGAACCCGCTGTTGCGTCAAGAAAATCATGATGGGGGTGGTATATGGATTTATAGATTCTAGTAATGTGGTTGGAAGGATTACTTAGGATGCATCAGGCCTTCTTAGCTAAAAGAGCAACATTAAACCGGTTAAAATCACGGAAACCTAACACACCAAAAAACATACTCTGGCACTCCAAGATATCCAATGAATGCCATTCTCCTTGTCTTGTCCTATCCACCAAAATTTGGAGAGCTGACTATTTCACATATGACACGTTTCTTGGGGTAATCTAAAGGCACACATAGCATAAACAGGTCCAGCTTCCCCTATCGCCATGATAACCACTTCTTTTGCTGCTAGCGACATGGCCTTATTCTTCCAATTGCGGACACGAGCTGCCAAGTCTTCCTCTATGAACTAAAAGGTAAGGGATTTGGAGCGGCGAATTTGGGAGGGTAAAACCAAGTACCTGTCATTTGTGTTCATAACAACTACCCCTAAATATGAGCTGATTGCCAATAGTTCCTGTTCTGAACATTTTCACTTACACACACAGCAGATTTGTGCAGGTTAACCCGCTGCCCACTAAACATTTCATAGTCAGAAAGCAATTGAAGCAATGTTGCACATTCAGGAATAGATGCTCTCAGAAACAAATAGGAATCGTCGGCGAAAAATAGGTGTAAGAGGGGAGGAGCTGATCGGTGTACCCGTTGATCATGGAGGGAGGAATTCGCAACAGCTTGGCTGATTTTTGCTGCAAAGGCTTCACTATAGATGGCAAACAACAGATGTGATAGCGGATCGCCTTGACGAATTCCACATTGTGGCTGGAAGTATCCATATTTGGGGCCGTTTAGAAAAACTGAGAATCGGACCATTGTAATACAGGCCCTGATCCACCTCATCCACTGCGCACAAAACCCCATCGATTCCATTACTTGAAAAAGGAAATCTCATTCCATGCGGTCATACGCTTTTTCCATGTTGAGTTTGAGTGCCATCCATTTGTCTTGTCCTCGAACCTTGGTCTTCATGAATTGCATTACTTCATGACCAATCAGAATGTTATCAGAGATACATCGTCCCTTAACAAAACCATTTTGAAATGGGGTAATAACGTGAGGGAGAATGTAACTCAGCCTATTGGAGAGGATTTTGGAAATAGCTTTGTACAGAACCTGGCAGAGGCCAATGGGCGCATTTGCATCATGGAATCAGTTTCGTCACTTTTGGTATAAGAGTTAACAATGTGTGGTTAGTGCTATGGAGGAGGTGGCCTATTCGAAAGAAAGATAAAATTGCCTTTGAGATATCCGCTCCTATCTCATCCCAGAATCGGTGGTAAAAACCAGCAGTAAAGCCATCTGAACCCGGGGCTTGATACTTCCTGATGCTGAATATGGCATGTTTGATTTCAGAGAGAGACACATGCGAAGTAAGCATGTCATTCATGGCTTTGGTATCCTAATGAGAAGTTGTAAACTATCAACAAATGTTATTGGATCAAAGCCATTCGAAGTAAATAGGTATTGGAAATAGGAAACAAAGACTTCCCCTTTTGTTGCTTCTTCAGTTTGCAATTCACGTTCCGCATCGCGGAGGGCTGGGATGTTGTTAGCTCTCCTACGTTGCATTATGGTTAAGTGGAAGAAGTGGGTATTAGCATCTCCACCTTGTAGCCAATTATTTCGTGACTTTTGTTTCCAGTAGAGTTCCTCTTGTCTGTATGCCTATGTGAGTTGATTTTCCAGCATGCTGATCTCGTCCCAGTCTATAGCATTAGCCTCCCTTGCTGCGTCAATGGATCCTCGGAGTTCCTGAATTTTATGCGCTAAATTGGTCGTACCTCTTTTGGCCCATCCCAGCAGCTCATGCCAAGTATGCTTGAGTTGTGTTTGAACCCAGAAGAGAGGTGTGCCTCCCACTGGTTTATGCCACACCGAACGCACCAGAGGTGGGACGTCTTGATTAAAGTTCCACCACTGGTCATAGTGGAATCTCCCAGCTCGTTTGTCAGTAGGCTTCACAAAGCGTATCAGTAGCATCCTATGGTGTGAACCTCGGTGAGAGATATGGTGAACCTGCAGTTTCGGCCACAAAGATAGCACACGAGTATTATCCAAACAACAATCTAGACAATATTGGATATGATCACCATTGGACTGTCGGTTTGACCATGTAAAAGGGGAGCCAATGAAACCCAAGTCATGGGTCCTCCTGCAGATAAGAATTGATTGTTGGTCAAGAGCTGGTGGTGTAGGGAAACCACCCTGTTTCTCACAAGTAGAGAGTAAGCAATTAAAGTCACCCATCACTAATACAGGATCCTCATACGACGAAACAAGGAAAGAAATTTCATTAAGTTGAAATTGGCGGGGGGGGGGGGGGGGGGGCTACATCACAATTCAAATGCACAAAGACCACATCAAATCTCCCTAGAGAGGGATAATCACATTCTACGAACAAGAAACCCAATGACTAAACTGAAACTGAACACACTAAACCAGACGACCAGGCAATAGCTCCTACACATTCACGGGCATGACCTCTCATATGCATCAGCTGCAAATCTCAACTACACATCAGGATGATCATCAAGGCAATTCACTAACGATGCTACAACACCAAGATTTGGAGATGATTGAAGCTATTGAACCAATGGCAAAAAGATTTCTTCTGGGACCTCAAGAGCAGTAAGATACTACAACACAAGTTTTTCAGTGTGGAGGCAGCCGACCCTAATTGGTCTCAGACTGATCCATGAGTATTGATAGACCATTAATTACACATGTTTTTACCCTTATTCTTTAGCCGTTTGAGACATTAATTCTCGTGTTTTAAGTCGATTTCACGCTAGGTTGTGCGTTTATGTCATATTTCAGGGCTTAGCGTTGACATCGAGGCAAAGGAACGAGTTTCAGGTCGAAAGGAGCACGTTTGGGTCGAAGTGTGCTGGAGCAGATTTGAGGGCTCCAAGCACTGCTGTTTGCTTGATGTTTGATCGTATGGTTTCCGCATCTGAATCTGCTTTTGCTTCTTTCTCCATGGAGTAGTTTCCCCATTCATCTGGGTATGGAGAACCCTAGATTTGTATGTTAGGTCTGATTGTATGAACCCAAGTACAGATTTTATGATTTGATTATATTCAATTGAGGCTTGAATGATTGAATGACTTGAATCCTGATTAAATTCATGTTATTTCTGCTTTAGCCTAGAATGAGAATATCTGCCTAGGTTAATAGAGCACCCTTAGTTGAAGATAGTGAATTGGCGACTTTAGTCGAGGAGCCAGTTCACTATTCTGTACCGAATTTGCTTTGGTAGTGGAGGTTTGGTTCATTAGGGGCTCAATCTGTTTACTCCGGTGGAGGTTAGTCGCCCGCTGGGGACTCAGATTGAGAGGGTCTGGAGACCTTTAGTCGAGACTTCAGACTGTTTAAGAACCTTCCGCAGTATAACTATCATAGAAACTGAACTTGGTAATTGCAATCCGGCTTAACTGCAGTCTAGGGGGAACCATATCCGGGTGACCTCTCTCGACTTGAAACAACCGCTTAACTTGCTTTGCTTGCTTTGATTGATTGAACCTGCACTTTAGTTTCACCGCTAGATAATAAGAATTCACTGAGTAGTCATCACATCTAGGACCCGGGTTGACATTAAAACCCAAACCTGCTATACTACGCTTTAGGAAGTGGTTTCACTTGGCCATTTTCTAGAGTGACAGTAGGAGTGAGTCAAGTATCCTTGCTTGGAACTATCGGGGATTGGGGGCTCCTCTGACAGTTCCTGTACTCCTGGAAACTCTCATCCGAGACTCCCCTTTTCTGGTTTGCCTGAGTGAGACTAGGCGTGATGATGAGTTTTTGATCCAACAACTAGGTAGTTTAAGCTTTCCTGAGGAAAGAGTACATAGTGTGTCCAATAACGGTAGTGGATCGACAGTATGAACGAGAGCAGTGGAGGGTCTCCTGTTGTGGGAGACGTTTTTTGGCCCTAACCTAGCATTATTTCTAGCCAAAGTCCAAACGAATCTCTTGCGACGCCTAGCTAGAGTGGCTTCGTTCACTCGTGGACCAAATTCTCGAGCCACCATGTGCTTGCCATATCTCGAGGGATTCCCAGAAAGTTCATCCTTCTTTGGGCAGAACTTGTTCACATGGCCAACCACTCCACACAGGAAGCAGAATTGAGAGAGAGACTCGAACTTCACCTTGGCTTTGAAGCTTCCCTTGGAGGGATATTCGTGAGCAGCGGAGACTTCATCTGTGAGAAGAAGTTGAAGATCTAGAGTGATCTTTACCCTAATGTAGAGGCCACCGAATATTAAGGATCTGTGGATGGTAGCAGCCTCCGATGGACCTAGGGTTGTCCCAAGCAAGGACCCCAGTTTCTATGTGCAGCAGTAGTATGGAACCCCCCACAGATTTGTGCTACGAGAGGAGCCTTGATCAGTCCTGCAGCCAATTCCGCTGTCGAAGTTGCCCACTTCTGGACATGGATGATGAATTTCTCGAACACCCATTGTCCTCCATAGCGTATGTGCTGGGTTGTTTCTAGATCAGGAAGCACGAACTGGAGAAGATCTCATTCCACCATCGCGAGGGAGAAATCACACTTCCATACTCTTCTGATAATCGAACGAAACGTCGACACCGGTGGTAACGGCCAACAAAGCCGGCCCATCAGAGTCTGGTCAATCCTTTGGGCACCTGCAACAACATCTTCGTCATTGAACAGAACTGTCGCCATTCTAACTAGTAGGGAGATTTCCAATCGAACTCTTGTGAGAAAGAGGAATACCAATTGTAGTAAGCCAAGGAGAAGGATGAGGGATCGATCATAAGGTCACACGAAAGCGAAAAGCATACCCATTTGCCCGTCGTGGGAAGAGAGGAGGGACGATTTGCTCTTCCCCCCCCCCCCCCCCTAAATTTTCGTTCTGTGAAACGGAAAATGGTCCCGGCAGTGTTCGCATGACGCATCTTTTGTTGAGTTTGGCGAAATGACAACAGGGTCCTTCCGTGCTATGCGCACAAGACAGGTCACATGAGAAATAGAATGGGGAAAGTTCTGCAGAGAATCTCATTATGGGGTCGTTTGGTAGTTGTGATTGTTAGATTTGTGTTTATTGAATACATGTATTGTGCACAATACAATGTTTGGAAGTGTCAAAGTGTAAAACAATGCATGTATTGTTTTAGGTAGGTCCCACCAACAATCACAAAAAATGATCCATTATACAATCTCCACTAAAAGTTGAGATTGTTGATTTTAGATTTGTGTCCAATTTTTCTTTCCATTTATATCCCTATTAGTTTTTGTCTTATACTAAAGGGTTAATACCTTAGTTTTGCCCGAACTATACACATACTTTCTACTTTGGCCCGTGGTATTGGAAATTGCTATTCTGGCCTGAACTATGTAGCAAACTTCCTCATTTGGCCTGGAGGCGGGTTTGACCGTTAAATCAGACGGTCAAACCTGTTGACTGTTAGTCAATGCCCACCTCACCTGCCACGTCAGCTTTGAGGACATAAAAAATATTTTTTTATTTTTATTTTTGTTTTCTTGTCATTTGCTAAAAATGGGTCATTTTTCGTTCCTTTAATTAATTTTTTTGATTTATTATTTTTATTAATTGAAAGAAAACAAAATTCATAAATAAAAAAAATATTTTTTATGTCCTCAAAACTGGCGTGGCAGGTGAGGTGGACATTGACTAACGGTTAATAGGTTTGACGGTCAAACCCGCCTCCAGGCCAAATGAGGAAGTTTGTTACATAGTTCAGACCAGAATAGCAATTTTCAATACCACGGGCCAAAGTAGAAAGTATATGTATAGTTCAGGCCAAACTAAGGTATTAACCCTATACTAAAAGTTGATGATAAATGTGACATTTTCCCATAAAGTAACTTTATGCAAGTCAATACATAAAATAGAATTTCAACAATCAAACAATGTATTATTAAAATGCATATATTATACCAATACATGTGTTTATTTTGTTGTGATTCATTACAATACAACGATTTAACATTCTCAATTTTCAAACCACCATGTTTGGTAGGATTACAAGTTTCCCAACCGTACCCCGGAATGGTGGGCTTTGCCAGCGGGCTTTTAATATGGGGCCCATACCGCATCAAGGAACTAACGCCTACCCGGGTACTCGGCCCTTGGATGTGAGCCTTTTTCACGGCACACCGACTAGAGCAGTCTAAACTCTAAACCCGTAAACCCAGAGACAAATAAATATTCCCCAAGCAAATTGCAAGTGCTCTCTCTCTCCTCAGAACCAGAAAATAACCCTAGCTCGCTCAAACTATTCATCAGCTACTCCTCAAGCGCCCATTCTCAACCCACTCGCTGCGTGCTTCCGGTCTCTGTCTCCTCATTTCCTCGCTTCTTCGACTTCTCCTACTCTCGCGCTCAGCACTCAACTTCTCACTCAGGTCCGTCGGATTCGCTCGCCGTCTTCTCTTTCTCTCTTGCCTGATTCATCCCCAAGCTGGCGGCAGTTCTGATTGTTGTCTTAGGCAGTTGGCTTTTGGCTTGTTTCCCCGTTTGCGTCGGTTTGATTTCGCGGCTGGCTTCAGCTCAGCAGCTGTGGGAGGAGAGCTTGCGCCAATTGTCTTATTAGATTTCAATTAGAGCGCGTGAATCTAGAGTGTGGTGTTGTTATGAGCTTTGGAACTGTAGGCGGACTTGATTTACTTCGAATTGCCTTTGTTGTAGCTGGATGTTCGTTTGCCCTTTATGGCTATCTTTCAGCTACTTTGGTTCACTGGGAAGAATTGGAATCAGCACGTTCCGCTTGGGATTTTGGTGGTTTTAGGTTGGACAAGTGTCCTTGCTGGGGATGTATTTAGGGAACCGCTATTCAGTGTTTTGCCAGTTAATTGGAATACATCAGCATATATACGTGAGCGTATTGGCATACCATGAATGCATTAGTTAGTCTTCATTGCGATGTGGAGAAGATAGGGTGATTCGCCCTATTTAGGGATTTAATATGCTCTTCTGGGTTACTTTCATTGTGTTTCTCAAACTTGAATAGCCCCTTTGCTGATTTCAATTTCATTTCTTCTAGTGCAATATGCAAATATGAGTTTGATAATAATAATCCTCAGTGTGCTTTGTTTGTGATCATAATTTGGGTTTGCGTCAAACTAAATCTTGCTTCCTTATGTGGGATCGTATTTTTCAGAGGAAAACTTAGGGACATACAAAATGTCGCGGAAAGGCTTAATGGAGCAAGACCTGAGTAAACTGGATGTAACTACGTTACATCCGCTCTCTCCAGAAGTGATATCCCGTCAGGCCACAATTAACATAGGTGATTTAGTTTCCTGATTAAAGTATTTAAACTAAGCTTCTGTAGTTTTGGAATAATGTTGCTGTCTGTTCTTATTCCGCATTCAGAAGTCCGTACTTATATATATTTTCCCTTCTTCTAATCATTAGGCACTATTGGTCATGTGGCACATGGCAAGTCCACTGTCGTGAAAGCAATCTCTGGTGTCCAGGTGTTCTCTCGTTTAAGTTTTCTGCATTACTCTATATTTTCTTGTGTTTTCAGTTCTCTTCCATGTTGCTGTATTCTGGAAGGGTTTATTAATAAGAGTGTTAAGACAATTATTAATGTTTCGTACTTAAGCTACTGAGACAAAAGTGATGATAGCAATCTTACATAGATTGCTTGTGTCTGATTATCTTGGATGTAAGTTGGTAGTCACAATAGTCATTCCACTATCTTGTTGAGAACATAGAGCATGCAGCCTTTTGTTTCTTTCATAAAACATTAGTTACTGATTGGTTAGCGGTGTAATCACGTGTATCTGCTCAGTGCAATCCTATGCAATAAATGCATCTGTTAACTGTGCCGAAGAACTCATTCCGGCGAGGATGAGACTTTCTTATCCTTTGTAGAGAGAGGAATCTTCGTCAATATACCAAGTGTCCATTTAGGAAAGAATGTTATGGGCATGTGTTGCCACTTCATATTAGTGGCTGCTTGTGTGATGCCTTATACATATTTGAATAGTGATTATTATTTGTCATTCCGTTCGCAGACTGTACGTTTCAAAAATGAGTTGGAACGTAATATTACGATTAAGCTTGGGTATGCAAATGCGAAAATATACAAATGTGAGGATGACCGATGCCCTAGGCCTATGTGCTACAAGTGAGTTGATTCAAAGCTCAAGCTTGTTGATATTGGGGTTCTATCTTTGTCACTGCATTTTATTTTTAACATTTTCAAAGTGTTTCTTCAGGGCCTATGGAAGTGGTAAGGAAGACAATCCCTCATGTGATGTTCCTGGTTTTGAGAGTGCTAGAATGAAATTGCTCCGACATGTCTCCTTTGTAGATTGTCCGGTAAGTTTCCCTAATAAGATGCCATGTATTGATCGTCCATCATTTTCCTGTAATTTAAGTGTCAAATGTTTTAACTTTAACGTGACGCATGTCCAGGTAGTAACATGACTCTCTTGTTTATGGATCTTCTCATTTTGCTACCCTACAGGGTCATGATATTCTCATGGCAACAATGCTTAATGGTGCAGCTATCATGGATGGAGCATTGCTTCTGATAGCTGCAAATGAAAGCTGCCCTCAACCACAAACCTCTGAGCATCTTGCTGCTGTTGAAATCATGCGTCTGAAGCATATTATTATTCTCCAGAATAAAGTTGATCTTGTCCAGGAAAATGTAGCTATCAACCAGCATGAATCTATTCAGAAATTTATTCAGGTCCAGTCCTCTGAGATGCTCTTTGTGTTCTTTGTCCTCTTGAAGCTGTATTGGACTCTGCTTTCTTCAGTCAAATGTAAAGCCATCTGTAAGCTGCTGACCTATGTAGTCTACTACCTCACAGGGAACTGTTGCAGAGGGCGCTCCAGTTGTGCCAATCTCAGCTCAGTTGAAGTATAACATTGATGTGGTCTGCGAGTACATTATAAAGAAGATCCCTGTTCCAAAGAGGGACTTCACATTACCACCCAATATGATCGTTATCCGATCCTTTGATGTCAACAAGCCTGGTTTCGAGGTTGATGAGATCAAAGGTGGAGTTGCTGGTGGAAGTATTCTCACAGTAAGCATAACATGAGATCTTCCTTTTTTCCTCAATTGTCTCATGGGTATAGTTAAACACTTGTCCAATGTCCTGTGCAGGGGGTTTTGAAGGTGAACCAATATATTGAGGTCCGTCCGGGAATCGTGCTTAAGGATGAGAATGGCAACATGAAATGCACGCCCATCTATACTCGGATAGTCAGTTTGTTCGCCGAGCAGAATGAATTACAGTTTGCTGTACCTGGAGGTCTCATAGGTGTTGGTACAACGATGGACCCCACTTTGACACGTGCCGACAGGCTTGTAGGACAGGTCCTTGGAGATATTGGTTCCCTCCCTGATGTTTTTGTGGAGCTTGAGGTGAAGTTTTTCTCCCAGATGTTACTAAATGCCCTTCTTCCTTCCGCTAACTTGACAATAGCAATCTAAATCTGATTGCTCCTTAACTTATTTTTTATCAACTTTGTAGGTGAATTTCTTCCTTCTGAGGAGACTGATTGGAGTGAGGACTAAGGGATCAGAGAAGCAAGGAAAGGTATCCAAGCTGGCGAAGGCCGAGATTCTTATGCTGAACATTGGGTCAATGTCGACCGGAGCTCGGGTGCTTGCTGTGAAGAACGATCTTGCGAAGCTGCAGCTGACATCACCGGTGTGTACCAGCAAGGGAGAGAAGATAGCCCTGAGTCGAAGAGTGGAGAAGCACTGGCGCTTGATTGGATGGGGCATGATTCAGGCTGGAGCGACGCTGGAGGTGCCCCCCAGCCCACTTTGAGTGAGTGAGAAGGAAAGAAAGAGTAAGGTAGAGACCGAGGGAGACAGGCAGAGAAAGCGTTTAAGAAACAGAAACCAAGGTTTTTTTTGCAGAAGATGTGGAGGGGAAGAGAATTGCTTGGAACAATTTTCGTTAGGTGGAGGAGAAAACATGTTGATTGATCTTGTTTGGTGTCTCATTTTTTGCATATCACTCACAGATTTGTGCACATGCCAATTCAAGTATTCAATTAATGCTTTACGCCCTGGCCCAGGTAAAGGTTATGTTCTCGCATTGCTTCTTTACGGATAACTGTAGCTTCTGGAATGTTCTCGTTATCTATTTTTATTTAGAGATGGTTACAATTTTGAAATCACGGTTCGAAGATGATATATAAAATAACTGAATCGCTAAATGTCGCCCTAAAAATTGCTAAACATCGCCCTAACTTGAATGTACAATTTCTTATATACCCTTAAACAAAAACTCCCAATTGACTTAAACAAACAAGCCCTTACCAATTTTCAAATTCTACTCCCCCCAACTCCTCCCACCACCCGCGACCTCCCTCACCGGCCGGACTCCAGTCACCCGCGACCTCCCTCACCGGCCGGACTCCAGTCCCGTCGCCGCCGCCGACCTCTCGCCAGTCCCGTCGTCGCCGCCCGCCACTCCCGTCGCCCATCGCCAGTCCCGTCTCCATCCCGCTCCACAGTTGCCGCTGCCAATCGTGTCGCCGTCCCGCTCCACAGTCGCTGCCGCCCATCGCGTCGCCATCGCGCTCCACAGTCGCCGCCGTCGCGTTCCGTCGCCATCGCCGCCCATCGCGCTCCACAGTCGCCGCCCATCTCGTTCCACAGTCGCCGGAGAAGAAGGTAAAAAAAAAAAAAAAAAATTCAACCGCAGTCCAATCGCGGTTTGACCGACGGTCAACCGCGGTCAACGCGCGGTTGAACCGACGGCTGACCGCGGTCAAAGGGCGATTGACCGATGGTCAAACCGCGCTTTGACCGCGGTCAGCCGTCGGTCCAACCGCGCGTTGACCGCGGTTGACTTTTTTTTAATTCTGTTTTTATTCCGTATTTAAATAAATTTTAATAATAATAAAAAAATTAAAAAATATACTTAATAAAAATAATTTAGATATAATTATATTTAATGATAACGTATTCGATAAATGTTAATTTAGTTATAATGTTAATTTAGTTATAATTTAGTTATATTATATAAAAATTTAAAAAACGTTTTCGAAAAATGTTAATTAATGATAAAAAAATTTAAAGAACATAATAAAAAAATTAAAATGTATTTTTATTATTTTAATAATCAAAATTTCAAAGTAATTCGTTTATCTACTTAATTATTAATAATTTTACCTTGATTAATTATTTACTTTTATGTAAATAATGATTACATAGAACGTAACATAAATGTTCAAACTATTAATTTTATAATTTTAATTATGGAAATCTTTAATTAATTACTTTATGTACTCTATTATTAATAATCCATTATTAATAATTCAAACTTTTTATTGAAGATGTCTGGACATGGAATGGGTAAACCGGATATGATTAAGGCGAGAAATAAGGAGAGAATGGAAGGTCGTGCTTGTAGACTTACGGCGACTGGTAGGAAGGAAAATGAAGAAAAAAATCCACCTAAGGTTAGAAGGAAGAAGAAGGCGGATGTAGTGCGTCGTGACGGCCACCCTACTGTGGGGCAGTTGTCTCTTAGTCGAGGTACTACCAGTACTCCTACACCAGAGAGCGCACCGGTATGGCAGGCTAATTGGAGTGATTCCATTGACGAGGATGATGATGATGACGGTGAGGCTGAGGTTGGGAATGCCCCAGATGCTGGTGATCGTGCTGGTGATCGTGCTGGTGATGCTGCTGGTGATCGTGCTGGTGATGCTGCTGGTGATGCTGAGGATGGGGATGCCCCACCTCAAGCTGATTTAGGCGTGGGGAAGACGGCGCGGGTCGGGATATCTTCTACTGCCTCCTCCCACTTCCGTGGCCCCGATGGACGCTATGCGTCCAGACTTAGTAGCGAGGATGGCGGAGATGGAAATAGGAAGAGGAAGACCACGAGGAAAGATATGTCGTGGTTTCTTACAGCCGAGTCTCCGATGTGTTCAGGTGGACCAGTGATTCCCGATGTGATCCCTAGCTTTGGAGGTCACATTGGTCTTGTACTGTGGAATACCCCTGAGCAGGACCGTGGAGTGTTGGACGGCTTCCATAGGCCGAAAGCTTTAGAGACTTTGAGGCGATATAAGTGGAGTGCAGAGGGTTCCAAGGAGATGGTTGAAGCCACAGGATTGTCTCACTTGACAGGGTGCATGATGCAGCATTTTGACATGGCTCTACTGTCGGCATTTGTGGAGAGGTGGCAGCCGGACACAAACACCTTCCACATGCCGTTTGGAGAGGTTTCGATCCTTCTACACGATGTGCATCACATTCTTCGGATACCGGTTGACGGAGAGATGATGGGAGATGAGGCGTCGCCGGATACTCTTAAGTCAGACATGGGTGGTCTAGTTCGACTTTCGGTGGATGCTCAGGTTGGTGGTAAGTGGAAGTCTAAGTGGTACGATAATGGTGCTATGCATGCAGAGGGATTGTTGGTGCGTGGGGGAGAGTTGAAGATTAAGGAGATGGAGGTGCAGTGTTACCTATTTGTGTTACTGGGATCCACGCTTTTTGTGGATAAGAGTCGTGATCGCCTTCGTCCTGCGATCAACTTGTTTCTGAAGGATCATCGACGATTGTCTGATTACGCTTGGGGAGCTGGTGCACTAGCCTATCTCTACAGACAGTTGGGAGTGGCCACACGAGCGGGTAATAAGGGTCTTTGTGGTTGTTTGACCCTGCTTCAGGCTTGGATATATGAGTACTTTCCTCTATTCCGTCTGAGTCAGCTGCCGCAGTCTCCGGATGCACCTCGTGCTTCCTCGTGGATTTCTCCCTGTTTGCCAGGTGGGGATGAGGCTAGACAGAGGTTAGCACGTTATCGACAGTTGTTGGATGAGCTTTCAGCTGATGATGTGACCTGGACTCCGTACGGACGAGATGGCCACACAGATATTACCCGCTCCTTGTATACTGGCCCCATTCGCTTTTCTGACATTGCTGAGGGATACGATCCTGCACGTTGTCTGCGCCAGTTTGGATACCGACAGATTATCCCCTGTGCTATGACGGTACCACATGACCAGTACCGTCCGGCTTCCGGCAGCAGTTACATAGTCTATTGGGATCCGTGGGTGAATCAGTTGTGGGATAACGTGGCAGCCCGTCGTCTATAGTTGGATTTTGCTTCTCGGCCGTGCGAGCACCCATCGGAGATCGTGGAGGAGTACGTTGACTGGTTTCTGACTAGATCGCACCCACGGATCACCCACCCCACTGATGGGATGCCTCAGCCTCGACCACTACTAGTTCATCAGGTTAGTTATGACTTTCTTTTGCTTTTCCAAATATAAAGAACATTTGTTATTTATTATAACATAGTTTTCTGTTTACAGTTGAGAGAGCAGATTGTGGATCGTTTAGGTCCCGTGTTGCTGACGAGGGACCGGAGTAAGTGGGAGGAGGACGGTGGTAAGATCTATGACATGGTAGCTGGGGTTTTCGAGTTGTGCGACCAGTTGGTAGGGTAGCCGCCTCAGTAGACGATTGTGTTTTTTATTTGTCATCTTTTGTAGTTGAACTGAGACTATTGTGTTTTTTATTTGTCATTGTTTGTAGTTGAACTGAGACTATTGTGCTTTTTATTTGTCATCGTTTGTAGTTGAACCGAGACTATTGTGTGTTTTATTTGTCATTGTTGGTAGTCGAATTGAGACGGTTGTGTTTTTTTTTTTTTTTTACTTTAGTTACATTACATTCAATGCATTGCTAAAATAGTTAATCAAGATAACTAAATGTTTCTACAATAGAGAGTTATACAATTCGTAAAATATACTTTCAATCTTCATCCCCGTGGGTTCAATCTATCATAAAGCGCACGCTCATGTAAGAAGAATTGATCCCACCCATTGACACTAGGGTCATTGACACTAGGGTCATGAAAAATAATGACATCTTCTGGATCCATAAAGCATACCATAGGAAAGATGGTAACTTGATCTGCAAAACAAACCCTTAAATTTGAATTTACATCAAGCAAATTGAGAGAACCATGCCTCCAAAGTATGTATCCTGAACATGGATTTTGATTTAGCCAAATTCTGCCCTTCTTCTTCCCAACTTCGATAGCTTCTTTGTCTAGTAATTTTGGAGTGAATGGTTGGTAGTTTGGGATCATATCATGTCGTGTCGCGCCAACATTCCCCGAGACCATGAAGAGCAAGCGAGCGCCTCCTCTCCCCCACCCCTGTGCCTTCATCACCTCTGCCTCCTTCCTGTCGACGAGTTCTCGCCGCGCCTCCAATCCCGACTAGGCTAGCGTCACAGGCGAGCGTAGGGCGGCGAAGTCATCATTTTCTGGGTCACACAGCTAACCGCGACCAAACCCGAAAACTGGTCGTTCGATTTTGCGACTAACCGAAGGGTATTGTCGGTCTGTGGTTATTTGCTTATCAGTCGGATTACCAAAAATCGACATTTCGCTTATCGGTTAGACCAAAACCGATCGACATCCAATCCTATATGAAAGTATTTTGCATCTCTTGACATGGCAACGGCGTAATGCATAAATAAAGGTCAATGATAATTAAGGTGAACTATCATAAATGGATGAACGTATTCATACCTCTTATATATGAAATTTGGGCGTTCAGTTACAATCTATATCTATAATCCTCCAATAATATTTCAATAATATATGGTAGAGTTTTGTATACTTTTCTTCATTTCAAATGTTCTTCATCAAGAGTGAAAGTAGGAAGGACATTTTAGTCTTTACAATTAATTATTTATTTTATATTAAAAATATCAATATCAGCATTTGAACCCAAGTCCCTTCAAACAAAGATAACAATCATAAGCAATTACACTAAATGAATTTGTTGTATCTTTTTTTTAATACAAAACATACACGAAGTTAAACTCTGGAAAATGAAAGACTTTTCCATCATGATTAACAAGCTCACTAAGTCTACTCTATGTATATTTATGGTGCTTAATACTTCAATTTTCATAGTAGAATTTCATGTAATTTTATCCATTTTAAAATTCATGGAAGAAACTATTTCTTTTACTACGTGTTGCGTCATTGAAGTTTTCAATTTAAATTTTGTGCTTTTTTATTATCTTTGTTCATATCTCTTTCTAACTTCCTTGAAATTCCCTTCATCGTGCAATAGTTTGTACTCTTTCACTTTCCAGTACAAGGACGCATTTGAAAATCAATCTTTCGGTTTCTTTTGGCACGACAGTTTTATTCTTGGGGATTTAAGCTGAACAAGTAGAAGATTTCAACTATGATATCAATCCATGGAGAATAGAATGGAGTTTAATCAAGTAGTTATGGATTTGAACTTGGAGTAAAAGAGTTGGGATTAAGTTTGAGAATGGAAGTGGTGGGGGAAGAAATTGTGTTTGGATTTGGTAGCAGGTAAAGTTCAACTGTAGCAGGTGCAGACAGAGAAGAGGGAGTTGGTGAGGGTAGTCATCGAATTGAGGAGGGTATCGAAAGACATGGTAGCAAAACTGGAGCAGTTGAATAGAGAACTGATAGATAAGAAGTGTCTAATTTTGCTGAAACATATGCCTCTTGAGATTGAAGATAGAATGGATAAAAATTTGTTCGTTCAACGGAGAGTGGTGGCTATTTGATATTTACGTTTATGGTTTTTGCAACGACCACACTATTTCTATCTTAAAACGAGGAATCATTGATTGATTTACTAAAGTAGGTCGATTCTTTATTCAACCTACTAGAACTGATAGATAAGAAGTGTCTAATTTTGTGCCTTATTATTTTGATCTAGTCTATTAGTATATTGGAGGTAACCCTAATTTTGCCGTTTGCTCTCAAGTTTTGTGGTCCCCTCTTAGCTGAGTTTGTTATTATATAGTTGACTTGAAC